TTTTTTTGGTTTTTCTCCGGTACCGGGAACCGAACTCACGGCCTTGCACTTGCCAGGCAGGCGCTTTGCCGCTGAGCTAAATCCCCAGCCCCTAGAAAGACAACTTCTTGCCTTGGTCACTCCAAGTGTGTTTAGGAGGCTTCTTGACTTTAGGGGGGTACAGGGGAATGAAACGAGGGAGGGGGCAGAGAAGAATGTCTCTGAGTGGTGTGTGAACCCCTCCTGGTTTCTGGGGGGCACTGGGGGTGGTGATGGGCAGAGGTGAGGCGGGACGGGGGCGCACCTGTTGAAAGCTTGCAGCAGGTACGTGGGAGTGGCTGAAGCACACAGTGTGAAACAAAGCTACCATCAGGGCCGCTTTTCCTCACACCTCTCCTGTCTCCTTTGGGAACCGCACTCCTGAAGCAGTTTGGAGACTCGGGATAGAGCATTCTTGGTTCGCAGGCTTGCAGTCTCGAAGCAGAGGGCGGAATTTCCCCTGGATGGGGGTGGGGCAGTCAGGCTGCATCCAGAGATCGTGCTGGCGGCCCTGGGACCACTGCAACTCGTGCACTGAAAGTTAGGATGACCTCAGTCTGTCCCCACAGGGAGCAAAGCTGGACGGGACCGCCGCGGATGTAGAACTCTGTGTGATGTGTATGCGTGTATGAAGTGTGCATGTTTATTTTAGAAAACGATCTGCTACTGCATATTGTTTTCAATCCACTTTTCTTTTCACCAAGAACATTTTCTCTGTCATTAGACTCTTTCGAGACCATGTTCCTGTGATCAGGGGCTTCGCCCGGTGGCCAGTCTCGGCCCCCACCTCGAACTGGAAGCGCCAGCCTCCCCTCCTTCCGTGCTCTCCCACACCCCGCATTACTCCTGCGTCCCAACAGCCTCTGGGGTCGCAGCTGTACTGGAGCTTGGCTTCACTCTTCCCACTCTGGTAAAGGACTTGTTCTCAGAGGCCAGGGAAGGCAGCTCAGGTCATCCGTGTCAGCCACTGGGGAGAACACACCAGTCCAGGGAGGGCTCGCACCACCCCTACCAACTCCCCCCCTCGCCCCGCGAGGCAGATGATTAAAGGTGAGAGGGTCCTACGACTGCTGTGGCCCACAGCAGGTTGTCCCACAGATGCAACTTGCACCCAGCTCTTGCAATTCTCCAAGGTCGGCACAGCTGGACCTTCCCCCACCAGTGACTCTGAGGGGTAAAAAAATGAATTTGTGAAGAAATCGTGCGATAAAGCCACAAAACCACTTTTATTTAATTGCTACCACACAAAGAATAGAATTAAGGCAGTATAATACATTTTCCCTTATCCTTACAAGCTTTTGTACAGTAAACTTCACTTAAAGTGTCAATTCGGATCAACGCTTGAAATGTTCATTAAACAGCAGATTTTTTTTTCCCTTGAATTCTAGAGAGTCATTCCCTGGGCTGTCAAGTGTGCTGATGCAAGACTGCTACAGCGTCACACTGTCACTCCACCTCAGCCAAATGTGCTGGGACTGAGGGGCGTTGGCTTCTCTTCCTCATTAGAGGGACAAGGCTTTTGGCAGAACACGGCATAGTTCATTCAGTTCTGGCTACCGGTTATTACCGAAAATTCCCTTGCGAATGCAAAAGAAAAATGTAAACACTGTGTAAAAACATCAACCTGTTAAAAGAAAAAAACTCCGAGGTAAGAAGATTGTTATGAGCTATAAAAATGAGTGTACTTGAGCCTAGCAACCATAAGTTTGGATTTTAAGAGAAATTATTATGAATGGATGTGTTACTGTGGAACTAAATGAAAGAAAATCTTGACAAACACTAAAAAAAGTCAAACAACTAAAAATAGGGGAAAAACACCTCACCATTTGCAAACCCGTTTGACTATAAAACTCAGCACCAATATTTGAATTTTCACAAAATACAAATCATTTGGCGTGACTGTATCTTTCCTTTTGCCACTGGATCTCGTAGGCATACAAGTTTCTTTTACTAAGAGCTTAGCAAACTGTATTCTTCAGATACGCGTCACATTTTGTCACTGTCTTTGGGAAAACAAACTTTGAGTGCTCACACTTTCTCTCGTAACTGCTTGTCTGACTGCCATGAAAAAGTACAACATAGAGTTAATACAGTTAAAACATAAAGCTATGCAGTCACAGTCACTTGACAAAAGTGGTCGCCAAGGCACACCTTTACCATTGCGCATGCACTCCTCCCCCACCGGGCGTGGGAGAAGGAAGCAGGAGCAGCAGAGGAAATGGGCAAGAGGGGAGAGGCTGGGAGTGCGGAAATCAGAGTGTAACTGTCCTGTTTCCGGGGTCACTAAGGGCTGGAGGTCAACTGCAGGAGGAAAGGGAGTCTGGGAAGAACAAGTGGCAAACTCGGGGGAAATCTATCTGGAAGATAGCAAGAGCCACACACACACTTTTTGCAAGTACACGGCGTCAAGGAGGAGTATGCCTGAAAGATGGGTGTCAGTGCCCGCGCGTGTCTGTGTGGGTCTCACTTCGGGTTACATGTGCAGAGGAAACTGGAAAGTGGAATACCACCTGGCCACTAACAAGAGCACTTTTCATAAGGCCGTCTCCTCAAAGTCCTCTTCAACATCCACAACCACCATGTCGTTGTAATCTTTGGCGGCAGGGGCCACTACAGTAGGATCAGAGAAGTCAGTGGCAGTGGCAGTGGCAGGCTCCAGCAGGCTGACAGCAGGCTCAGGCTCGGGGGACACTCTAATAGGGCTGGAGACAAACTCAGGGAGGTTGATCACGGTGACGTCAGACTCACGGTGTCCAGTAGTGGCCGTCTTGGGGCAGTGGGAGCTAGGGAGTTCTAGGTGGCCAGTAACAAGCTTGCTGTGGCCACCGGTGGGTTTAGGCTGACGGGTGGCTGGGCTGAAGGCAGCTTTGGAGTGGCTGCCAACAGAGGTGTGACTACTGGCAGGCTTGCAGGCAGACTTGAAGCGGACAGCGTCATCCTTGAAGTGGACGGAGGCAGGCCTAGGGTGGACAGCGGCAGACTTGAGGTGGCTGGAGGCAGATTTCCGGTAGGCAGAAGAAGACCGGGAGTGGGGTTTGGGGTGGCCAGGGGCACAATCGGGGTGGCCAGCTGCAGCATCACCAGGCAGTGGAACATTCCGGTCGGTCATCGGGATTCCCTCCACAGAAGGACAAACATGGGCACGGTCTTGTTCGAGGGCGTGGTTGCGGGCACGGGCACGGGCACGGGCCAGGGCACGGGCCTCTGGTGTCTCACGAATATCAGCGATGAGATCAGAGATGAACAGGATAGGGTGCCGCATGGCATGGAAGATGGTCCCGTATTCTCGTCGGAAATTCTCATTGAGGAGCCCATAGACGACAGCGTTGAGGCAGCTGTTGAAGTAGGCTATGAAGTACGCTGCAAGATAAAGCCAGTTGGGGATCTTGCTTGCCATCTCCTTCGGACCGACAGCCACCAACACAGTGAGCACAATCATAGGGCACCAGCACACTGTAAAAAGGAGGAAGATCACAAACATGGTTAGAAAATTTCGAACCTCAGCGAGTTGGTTGTCAGGATTCTGCCCAGCCTGGGCACGGGCTTCCAGCACTTTTCTCCAGATCCTCATGTAGCAGAAGCCGACTATGAGGAGAGGGAGGACGAAGTGGATGCTGATGATGGTCACGGTGAAGACAGAGTTGTTGACGTAGTTGAAGATGCAGGTGTAGGTGCGGGGGTCATACTCTATGGTGCCAATGTACATGTTGGGCAGGACAGCCAGGACAGCCATGACCCAGGTGACAACCAGGTAGAGGCAGGTGTTGCGCATGCTGAAGATCTGTTCGTATTTGAGGCTGTGGCAGATGTAGCAGTAACGGTTGATGGCGATGGCCAGGATGTTGAAGACAGAACCGACCACACTCAGGCCTGTGATGAACCCGACCATCTGGCACTGCAGCTGACTGAGATCCCAGCCCCCGACGGACATGGCATGCAGCATCAGGGGGTAGGGGTAGATGGCCACCAGAATGTCGGCTGCAGAGAGGCTGACCACGAAGATGTTGGCTGGAAAACAAAGGGGAGGGGGAGAAGGGGGAAAGAGAAAAAGAAATGGTTAAAGTGTGGATATCTACAAATTTAAGGCGGAGAAAATGTCAGCTGGACTGGTGACAATTTTCCCGGGAATTCTCTTAAAGAAATGCAGCCTTTTCTCCCATACTGTCACCTGAGCTGCGGGAGGCTAGGGGTACGGCAAAAGACAGAGGAAGCAAGGAGGCACAGGCGCGCTGACACCATTTGTGGGAAAAACGGAATGCACACTTTTCCCACGGGGTGGGGAAGAGGAGTAGCCGGGCCTTAGATAAGAGATGGTGCTGAGAAAGGACATAAAAGTCCACTTTCTTAAGTAGTCTTGTCCCAAATGATCAGACAGTAACGTAAGAGTGAGCTTGGCCAAATGCCATTTCCAAGGGAACCTTGGGGAGGGGGGCTACGAGCAAAAAAAACAGTGCATGTGCGTGTGTGAGCGCGGGTGTGCACAAGTGTGTGTGTGTGTGTGTAGGGGTGTGCGTGTGTGCGTGTGCATGCGTGCTCCCGCTGCGGCTGGGGGATGCCTGCCAGCATTGGCTTAAGTGCTTCTTTCACACCTGTTCCAGAGAGAGCCGGTCACTGGTCCCTGGCCCACGGCACTGAGCTCTACTGGAACCCGCCGGCTACCCAGGAAAATGAAGGGGACCCCCCTCCACACCTCAGGTTTTGTAGGAACTTTTTGTAAAAACCTTTCACAAACAGGAGAAGCAAGAGGCGAAGTGTAGACACCCAGCACTTTTTTTGGAAACACCTCCTTGCTAATTAGCACTAGTTTGGCAAAACACTGCACTGCATCTTAGATTAGGATAAAGGACAGCTTTTTAAAGGGTGAAGGTCTGGCTCCTTCTGCCTCCTTCGCGGGCGCCGCTCAGATTCCATCCAGCGCTTGCTACCCAAGAGGTTCTTGCTAGGGTTTCCCTCAAAGTGATGAGTCCAGGAAGGAAACGTGAGGAAGAGAGGGCAAAGCCTTAAAAACAAAACCACAACAACCATAAAAACTTTTATTTGGATGAGAGAAGGAAAGGAAAGGAAAGGAAAGGAAAGGAAAGGAAAGGAAAGGAAAGGAAAAGATTCGCCGCAGGTGGCCCACGGGGCTCCGTGGGCTGACACTCCAGACTGTGCTCTGGGAGTGAAGGTGGGTCCAGGGCGTGGGCCCCGGTCTCTGGGGTGCGGAGAAATCGGACACACCCATCAGCGTTGGAAAGAAAACTTTTACTGACTGCGTATCCATCACTGCGGTTAGAAACTTGCGCAGTTATGTGTGACTCCTTCTCGCAGCAAAGTAACCCCCACCACCACCACTCCGCGCCGGACCCCAGCCTCTCCTCTGCCCCGCGCCCGCGCCCGCGAGTCCGGTCGGTCCCCAGCTCCTTGGACTCCTCTACCCCTCCGCAGCCCACCCGCACCTTGGCGACCGACGCACTGGGCGCCACCTTTTCTCTTCCCGCTGGTCCGGGGCCCCGTCGCCCCTCCAGAGCCGCCTCCCGCCCAACCTGAAAACGGGGCTCGCCGCTTTGCACGCTCTGCCTTCTCCCGCCGCCTCCCGCACAGGTCTCCGTGCGCGGCACTCTCCCGGGCGTGCTCAAGCAGGAATCGCTGCTGGCCGCCTACCCTCAGCACTGGCGGGGTGCTGAGGGAGTCCCACTCCCCGCTCCGGGCTCCCGCTTTGCAATCAGAGCCCTTCATGTCCCCTGAGCTCTGCCACCAGCCGCCGGCCGCCCGCGCGCCGGCTGCCAATCTCTACCTGGTCCCGCCGCTTGCGATCTCACCGCAGCTTGGCGGCGCCAAGCCGCGACCCTCTGCGCCTTCCCTTCCCGGACCCCAAGCGCCCCGCTTACGGACCTCGGGATCTCCGCCGCCGCCGCCGCCGCCGCCGCC